AGAACAGCTCCTCCAGGCCCTTCTCCCGCACGTCGGCCGGCAGGTTGCCCACGTAGATGCGCCCGTCGCCCGCGCCGCCCCGCCCCGAGCCGCCGGGCCCGAAGTCCATCTCCCGCTCCCAGCCAGACATCCTCGCCGCGCGGGAACGAGCGGCCCGCGCCGAGCCAGCCACGCACTCTGCACCGCAGGCGCTGTTCCCCCCTCCCTTCCCTCGCCTCCTGACGGAGGACACTAAACCACCCGCTTAAAGGCGAGGAGGCGCCGGCAACCGCACACAAGCTTACGTGACGCATGCGTCGCGGGCCGGCCCCCCCTTCCTCCGCGCCCAACACGCGCACATTGCGCATGCTCGCCGTTTTCCCGCGGAGGTAGCCCCCACTGCGATTGCGCAAGCTTCCCGTTCAGGCGGGCTGAGCCTCTCGTAGTCAGAGCGCAGGCGCCACTTTTGTGTCCTAGCTCAAGGCCTTCCTCCTGCACACGTGCCACCTCCTCGCTTCTGTGGAGGATGGAGCCCCTACTCTGCTGTCTCATTTCTTTTATCTGTGCTGGTCCTTCCCATTCCTTCTCTAGTTAAATGGTGGCTCGCTTCATTTCTCTTTGTTTAAAAGTGACAGAAACCATTAAAAATTAGTATTTCTGATTTTCCAATCACCTGTAGCAAAAACGATTATCTTCCTGATTGCTTTCTGAAAGACAAAAAAGAGGAAGCTTCCAGGAAAACATTCTACACCAAATAAGGAATGAATGGAAACAATTTTCCCATAATTCCAACCCCTTATCCCTGACAATATTGATGGTCTTATAACTCAGTAGAACCTCAGTTATAAACATCAAAGTTATTAAATGACCAGTCAAACATCTTTCACAAATGAGATATACATTCAGGCAGCAGAAGAGAGAATTTTTTAAAGCAAACAATAGTACTGTGTAAAATGTAAACTATTTAAAGGGGGGAAAGCAGCATTTTTTTCTGCATACTAAAGTTTCAAAGCTGTATTAAATCAATGTTCAGTTGTAAACCTTTGAAATAACCATAATACTCAGTTCAGAGTTATCAAGCTTCATTCCCAAGATGTTTGTAACTGAGGTTCTACTGTATGTAGCCTATTGAAATTGCAAGAAATATCAATTACAGTAAAGCCACAAACATAGAAAGTGCCATAGCAGATATGACCATTGGTCCATCTAGTCTAGTGCCCTGTCTCCAACAGTGACCAGTACCATATCCTTTAGAGAAGCAAGGTGTAAGAAACCTAGTATAAAGTATCAGCGGTAGCCATGTTAGTCTGTGACTATAAAAACAACTAGCAGTTTTCTGGCACCTTGAGGACTAAAATTTATTAGTTCATGAGCTTTCATAGGTAAAACCCACTTCATCAAATGAGTTGGACTGAAAATTACTGAATCTGAGGTCATGAGCTTTCCTGGGTAAAACTGCACACACACACGCACACTCACACACACAAAAATAAATACATTGTATTCTGTAATTTCTACTCAAACCCACTTCATCAGATGAGCTATACCCACAAAAGCTCATGACCTAATAAATGTATTCATCACTAAAGGTGCCACAGACTGCTCATTGTTGAAATTTTAGTATAGTTAGTTATGAAAGAAGCTTCGTACAAGGAAAGTTTCTGACTAATCCCATTATGTACAGGCTGTTTGTTCTCCAAAATTAGGCCTCACATCCATTCCAAACTTTTAAAATAAAATCCTATAATTGTGACTGGATAGTCTTCTTATCTATATGAATGTCTGTCTTTTAAAAACAGATTCTGTCCAGGTCTTATGCATTATGTGAAAATATATATTTCCCTTTTTCAATTTTAGATATGCTTTTTTTTCCCCAATCTCAAATATCAGAAATGTGATTTCCAAGCTATTGAAAAAACTGTAATTTACAGTTTGAGAAGCAATTTAGTCTAATCTGTACTAATGAATTATTTTCCAACTCCCAGCTCTACTGCATGCTCAGGGCTTTTCACTTAAAAGGCTACAGCAGAGAGGAGATGCTTCTATACACCTCCCTGAAAGAGGGTTGCTATGTTGCTAAGAGAAGCCCTCCACTTAGCATAGCAATTCCTACCCTGAGAGTTAGGTCAGTATAAATGTCTCACTACAGAGTTCTTACCAAGCCACAAAAGAGCAGAGCCAGCAGCACAACACAACATAAACTATACTGGTTCACTATAAAATGGTCTGTCCAAGCCTTGCTGAGCAGTTAGCTCAGTGTTGAGCAATTTTAATGGCTCTAAATTCAGAAGTTAGCCTCTCCACTGCTGCCCTTCATCCAGGCAGAAACTTTCCCCTCTTTGCTTCATATATTTTATATAGGACACAGCAGGCAGCTATAATAATTAGGATATTTTTCATACTGATGTCTAATCTTGAGAGTATTCAATGCCAGCATCTCTTCAAATGACCAGAAGCATATTCAATTATCATTCTGAACCTGCTGAGCCAATAGTCAAGTCATACATGGGTGCTGTTGAAGTGACCAATCCCATTATAAGCCAGAAGACCAAGGGGTAGACTGGAACCTCCAGGATTATTACTAGAATGTCAGCATTCCCAATGGTAATTCACAGGTTGGGAAAGAAAGTCTGTGCTTGTAGTTGTTTATTTTTAACAGTCCTGTGTTCTTAAAGATGTGTCATTCACCTTCCCTGAACATCCTACACTATTGTCAGTGTGCACAAAATTGTACCCACTGTGGCAGGGTAACCCCACTTCTAGGTCCCAGTAACCTGCTAAGTCCTTAACCTGATAGTCTCAGTACTGTGCTATTAGACCTTGGCAGGGTTTGAGCTATGGTCCCCCAGCTACAAAGGGAATTGGGGTCAGCCTGGACTGCAAAAACAGTCCTCTTCAGTTCTTAGGCTACCAGGAAAAGAAGGGTCAAAAACCCGTTAGGAGCATCTCACCCCCCTTTGCTGTCTCTGGCAATGTTGCCATTGGTTACCTTTCTTCATTTGTCTGGTTCTTTTCCTATCTTCTGTGGTCTCCTCTTACTCCATTTACTCTCTCCATCCCTCCCTGCAAGGAGGGCTTCTTTTTAAAATGCTCCACAGCAGCCTCAGGTGAGATCAGAGGGCTCTGATTGATTTACAGCAGCCATGTCTCATTTGCTCCTGATTAACCAGGGTTGTTGCGGCCTTTTAGAGCTGCCTTTCTCTTGATATATTGTAGTCCTGCAGCATGACCCTGTCACACCACACTCTAGGGCTGTGTCTACACTGCAGGCTTCTCGCGCAATAAGGCTACGTCTAGACTGGCCCCTTCTTCGGAAGAGGCATGCTAATTTCTAACTTTGGAATAGGGAAATCCATGGGGGATTTAAATATTCCCCGTGGGATTTAAATAAACATGGCCGCCCCTTTTTTTCCGGCTTGGGGAAAAGCCGGAAAAGAGTGTCCAGACTGGCGCGATCCTCCAGAATAAAGCCCTACTTGAAAGTAGGAATAAGAGATCCTCCGGAATAGGGCTTTATTCCGGAGGATCGCGCCAGTCTGGACGCTCTTTTCCGGC